CAGTGTGTAACCTGCTGTTAACCTATAGGAATAAACTTGTCATACAGTATTTAAAGAATCACCAAAAGTAGGAATCCATATAATCGAGGAGAATCTTAACGATATCGCTGTTTCCATTGTCATTTACTATTAAACAGTATACTCAATTACTCAGTATTGTGTCAGCGATTGTATAGAGCTGCGATTAGGAATTAAGGAAACTGGCAAGACAACCTAGTGTGAAAATTAGTTTTATGTCCAGTTATTAAGAAATTAAAGATAACAAATAAGTTGTCGAGCGGGCAAAGAAAAGTTTAGAAGAAATTTTCAATTTATAGAAGATTGGAACAGGAAAAATCCTATAAAAAAATGTCCCGAGATAAGTACATGGTGAAATCTTTACATGATGGTAATTTGGAAAAAATTCTTTCTCCACGCAACAGTTACCTACTGGTATAGACATCAGTTATTATTATTATTATCGCCATGTGCTTGTAAACGCCTCGCTCGTGAGCTCTGTGTATTTGTGTCGATATAAGTGGTATATTTTGCTGCAAAAATATTAATAGTGTACAAGGAAGTGTGTAAGGGTGCTATACCTCATAATCTAGAAGAATTTTCGTCTATATATACACGGAAAAAGAGACTTTGATAATTTTAAAAGCAAAACATAAGAATTCCTTCAGTGTTGCCAAGTCAAAACTGTAAGTACGTACTACCTATCAATTTAAATTAAAATACCGCCCAAAACAACAAGAAGTGATAGTATTACAACGCTTATTGATGACAACATGTTGGAGGCCATAGTAAATAAATTAGGACAAAAATTAACACAAAAAATTGAAGAGCAACTGGAAAATTTAACAACAAAATTTGAAAAGATAGAAAGTAAACTAAACAATGTTTCGAATGAACTAAACAAAATATCTGAAAAATTGGCCTCGCTAGAAGGAGCGACTCAAACTAACCAGAAAGAAGTGTCCATTATTAAAGATAAGTTAAATATTATGGAACAAAATACTAGACGAAATACTCTTAGGATGATAGGTGTAAAGGAAGATGATAATGAACAGTTATTATCTAAGGTACTTAATATTATCAATGAAGCTTTGAAAGTTAAATGCTCTCATTGGGAAATTGACAATGTCTACAGGGTTGGGAAGTACAGTGAAAATCAAATGAAACCTAGACATATAATTATAACATTTGTTACATATTTAAAAAGAAACGAAATATACACAGCTAGAAGGGGATTGAAAGGATCGGGTATATTCATAAATGAAGATTTAGTTGAGACATCTTACAAACTCTTATTAGCATCCAAGAAGTCATTTGGTCCACGTGATGTTTGGTCGAGGAATGGAAGAATATATTTAAGACGTGACAACACTGTTCTACTCATTAATTAATAACGAAATTGATTTGGTTCAAGTAAAATAAAACAAAAACTGATAAAGGTATTGGGAGATAATAAAAGACATTTTTTTTTCTTTGTTTTCAGTTATCGCTATACATAAACTTTTGGATGTAAATTTAAAGGTAGATTTACACTATAATATCTATAGGAAAATTTAATTTATTTATTTCATTGTAAACACAATAACATATTTTATTATTCCTTTTTTTTATATATATATATATATATATATATATAATATAGATAATTTTTAGTTGTAATATGGTGTAATTTCAGTACGTGGCTATTTTTTAATATTCTGCGGATTTGCAAAAGAGGATTATTACTAAATTATTTTAACTTAAATTTAGCCTTTCAGAAATAGCAGCAAAAATATTTCTTATAAAATATATTTCTTTTTTTCTTCTTACAGAGCTTACTTGTAATAAAACTGTATATTAAGGTGTCTAGTACACTTAATATATACTATCAAAATTGTAGAGGACTAAATAGTAAATGCAACGATTTTTACAGGAGATGTCTTAACGATGACTTTGACATAATTATTGCCGTCGAAACATGGCTACAAGAAGGAGTAAGGGATGGAGAAATTGTTTATCCTGAATTATTTAATTTAGTAAGAGTTGATAGAGACCTCATTTTCACTAAAAAACATACGGGTGGAGGTGTTTTTATAGCAATTCGGAAAAAATATAAAATTTTAAATATAGTGAGAAAAAGTACATATTTTGAAGCTCTGGTTATACAAGTGAAAGTCAATGGAAATAAATACACTTTCTGTGCATTATACATACCTCCAAATAGTAAAAATCATGTTTATGAATTGGCAGTCAATTTTTTACAAGATAATATAGAAGACGTAGAAAACACTTATATTTTAGGTGATTTTAATGTACCAGAAATTACGGATATAAATTCTAATTACGCGTTTTCTAGTGATAAACTCAATATATTACATGATTTCATGGATTATAATAATTTTAAACTATTTAATAATATCAAAAATGACCTAGGAAAAACTTTAGATTTGGTTGTTAGTTCAGAAAATAATAATGATAAATGTTTAGTTGTTAAGGAAACGTTACCTTTTGTAAATGAGGATATTTATCATCATGCATTGAATATTAGTATACAACTTTGTAAAGGTTCAAATTACAAAAATGTGTTTTTAAAAGAGTATAAAAATAACTTTAAAAAAGCAAACTTTGATTTGTTAAGTGAAAAAGTTAGGGATGCTAATTGGGATAATGTGTTAAATCAGATAGATGTAAACAAAGCTTTAGATAATTTTTATACTATTTGGAATATAATTATTGAGGAATGTGTCCCTAAGTATACAGTAGGTAAAAACAGTAAAAAATATCCGATTTGGTTCACTAAAGAAATTAAAGATATGTTAAAGGAAAAAAACAATTATCGAAAATTAAGTTCAGTAAGTGATTTTTACAATGAAAAGTTTAAAGAAGTAAGAAAAAAAGTCAAAATTTTAATTAGGTCGAAAGAACGACAGTATTTAAAGCAACTAGAAGAAAATGTATCAACCGAGGTAAATGAGTTTTGGAATTATGTGAAGTGTAAGAGAAAAAATAATGATATCTGAATTTAGGAAACTACATTTATAAAGAAGCTACAGTGGCTCATAATAAATCAGCAGAAATATTTGCAAATTTCTTTTCAACGGTTTATGCCTCAACAAAAGCATCGTACAATCTAGATTTCGCAAATTTCAGTAATATATGTAACGACACTTTTGTTTTTAAAAAAATAACCGAATTGGAATATAACTCTGCGATAAAAAAGCTTAAAGCAAAAAAAGCTGCAGGTGTCGACGGAATGCCTCCCTTTATTCTCAAAGGTTGTTATGAACGGTTGAAACAACCTCTTTTACATATTTTTAACCTAGCTTTATCAACCAAAGTTTTCCCATCAATATGGAAAATTGCTATAACTACACCCATTCATAAAACGGGGAACAAAATGGACATAGAAAACTATAGACCCATTTCAATTATGTGTGCTCCAGCTAAGTTATTAGAACAAATTATATACACAATGCTCTATAGACATGTTGAAAAATATTTATCTACCCAGCAACATGGATTCGTTACAAATAAAAATGTTAATACCAATTTGTTTATTTTTGCTAATAAAGCCTACGAAACATTAGAACGAAGAAGTCAGTTAGATATTGTATATACAGATTTTCAAAAAGCGTTCGATAAGGTAAATCATGATGTACTACTTCAAAAATTAAATACATTTGGCTTAACTACAAATTTCCTTTGTTTAATTAAAAGTTACTTAGAAAACAGATTATTTATAGTAAAACATAATGGAAATACATCTGGTAAGTTTTCTGCTAATTCGGGTGTTCCACAGGGTTCTAACCTAGGTCCACTCCTGTTTTTGTTATTTGTTAACGATTTACCATCTGTAATTAACTATTCTGATTGTTTACTCTTTGCAGATGATTTTAAAGTTTTCAAAACTGTACAGACAGTAAGGGATTGTGTCAAGTTACAAAAAGACATAAATAGTATTCACGAATGGAGTCTTAGTAATAAGTTGTATTTTAATATAAAAAAATGTTGCGTTATGACAATAACACGCAAAAAAGAACCAACCACTTTTGACTATATAATGGATGGAAGTAAACTTGTGCGTTATTCAGAGGTTAAAGAACTCGGTGTAACTTATAACAATCATTTTTCGTTTTCAACTCATATTAGAAATATAGTAAAATCTGCTAACCGCATGTTAGGGTATGTAATAAGGCAAACTGCTACTTTTACTAATACGAACACTATAAAACTTCTCTATTATAGTTTAGTTAGGACCAAGTTGGAATATGCTTCTCTAATTTGGTATGGAGAGTATCAATATTCAATGAAAGAAGTTGAAAAGGTCCAAAACAAACTACTTAGATATTTGTACTACAAAACACACCATGTTAGACCAGATTATAATACAATAAGGTCAACTCAGTTGAGAAGAGAGTTTAAAATTATATCGTTGGACAGCAGGCGTTGCCTAAACTCGATGATGTTTCTCTATAATACGCTTAATAATAATATAAATGCACCTGATATATTATCCTTAATACAATTTAACGTTCCACCACGTAGAATGCGATCATCAGCTATGTTTAATATTCCCTTTACTACAACCAGAGCTCCTCTCGTAGCCATGTTGAGACTAGCCAACCAGTTCAATGTGTGTATGGATTTGGACTGGACAGTGACTAAGAGAATTTTCCGTCGAATAATTCTAGATCACATAGTAAACATCTCTGTATAGGAATAGTTATTTTTATTAAAGTTGATTTATTAGAATTAATTTATTAAAAGTCATTTATTAAAATTAATTTATTAGTGTTTTAAAATTTGGTCCCCTACAATTTTATAAAACTTACATATATTTCAATGTTTTTTGTCTATTTTTGGTATTTTCTCTCATCAATGAGAGCTTAATAATGATACAATTGTATTTTAAATTTTATTTTTATCCATGTAATTAAACCTTTTTGGTTTGTATGGAAAAAAGATCAATAAATAAATAAATAAATACTTTTAAGAAAATACTTAGGTTTGGGGTACAATTTAACATTGTTATTAATTTTAGAACAGTGCCTTGGCTTTCTTTTTTGCCCATAAGTCCAGATACTGTACAAATTTCTTTTGCTAATTCTACCCCATTAATATTAACAGTATCATCGTGAACTAAAATAAGTTTTAGATCGTTGCAATGTTTTAAAAGATTTTCTTTAGACATGCCCTTTAAATGGTATATATTATATAAAAATTGAAAATAATTTTTGCAAAATATCAAGTGCAGATGCTCGATCATAATCTTTTGTCTGCAACAATTTGCTTATTGGATTATTACAGTATAAAATGTTATACCAAAGAACTATTGAAAACAAAAATTTAAATTGTTTAAAGCCACTCTAGTAGTGGCTATTAGAAGATTGTAGAGTCATTTAAACGAAAAAAAAAAAAAAAAAAAAAAAAAATTGAATCACAAAAGTGCAGAATTTTAAATCAGGATGCATTTGAAAATAAATTTGGGGACATCAGGTCGGTTTTGGATTTTAGAGAGAGATCAATCTCAAGGAAAGTTAATTTATCCTGTAGAACAACCACTAGTTTAAGTAGGATCTGCTATAACTTTAGAAGATTTCCTTGATAATAAATTGTAATATACCAATTGTTTCAAATGAAATTGAAAACGAGTTAAATTCGAAATTAGATTTTTCATGGGTAAAATGTTATATTCATTCAAACATCGTAAGGTAATCGATCATTAAGGTAGTATGGAAAATAGGTATACCGTGGTAAGGGACAATGACAAAAAAATTACAAAAATGTATTCATCTTGTTACAGGATAAAAGAAATTATAGGATTTATAGGATTAATAGGATATATTTAGGACTCATTTAACATGAACTGCATTTCTAAAACCTAAAATAAATGCTACTTACAATAAATTTAGTGAATTATTTTATATTTTATCATTTGTTTACTTCCATTAAAATTTCCTTACTATTTCGAACTTGAGAATGCATGTAGATTTCAAATTGGGAATCCATGTAGAATTTATCTAGAAGGAAAGAGGACATAAGTATCTTAATAATAAACAATTTTTACTATTTATTACATTTCAAAACAACTTAAAATCATTTCGGAAGGTAACCAAATTATTGAATTAGTTTTGTTTACATTTTCATAATATCTACATGTCATAAGTCACAAAAGTCGATTTTAATGAATGACAATTAGAATGAATAATTAGTAGTATGAATTAAGTAATCATTCATTCATCTACCAGTTCTAAGAAATGTACTAGAACTAGACTTTTAATTAAAATGTTTTGTCTTTGTCTACCAACTAAATTAGACATAAGTTAATCTCTTTTCAAGTATTAGAACTTAAAAACTAACAAACTATTTAATAATTTGGAGGGTCTTATCAAAAGGGAATATGCCATTTTGTTCTTGTGAGAGCTTTCGTCAAGAACAAGTGTCAACATTTTTGTGGATTTTTCCAAAAGTTCTTCGATTCAAGAGATTGCGAATTGTTCTGTTAAATAGAAATTCATCAACCAAGGGTTGGATTTAGTCTCGCAAAGTAAAAAACTACAAAAAAAATTTATTAGGAGACCCTGAGCAAATTTATTACTCTTAGAGGCCATACCCCATCAAAAGTACTTCAAATAAAAACTTATTATTAATGGTATATAAAGATACTTACGTTTCTCTCTCTTTCAGGCCTTTTTCTTCTTATTCTTTTTCTATATTTTGTTTCCTGTTATTTCTCCAAATTGTACATAACTTCCGACGGTATATTCCTCTGTAAACGTCACCATCGCAGACATCTTCTTCCAGACCACCCATGGGGAATCATTGACTGGTCTCATACGTCCCTAGTCTCAACCCCTTGCGATCGATCCAGATCGAGACACTAGCCACGGAGAATCATCGACTGGTCTCATACCGGAGGTATACCTAGTCTCATCCCCTAACTTGCTATACAAGGTAACCATTCTATGCTTTATTAATCGGGATTCCGGACTGTGGTATTGGACATTTAAACCTGAAACCGAGTGATATATATTTTGAGAAATATTAGGCTACTCGAATTTGTACATGTAGATTTAGTTGTAAATTTTTATCAAGCTAATTAGTTCATAGTATAAACTTACCATATCTTAACAAGATATTGATTGTACATATAGATTTACTTATAATTTTTATCAAGCTAATTTGTTCATAGTATAAACTTACCATATCTTAACAAGACATTGAATTTGTCCGATTATTTCCAGCATTAAGCGTGGAATACTTTTTTTTTTGTAAAATATTTGATTACGAATCACATTTTGTTCGCCGAAAAATATGCATATTTTTAAGGTCCATCTAAAATTATTGAATCTAATATTATAACATATAGCGGTACTAATAATCTAAAATTACCTCGTTTTAATATTCCATATTGAGATTATTCAGCTTTTAAAACAATAATTTTGTAAAATATTTGACATTTAACTTCATTTTGTAACATAACCTCATTTCTACCACATGTTGGATAAAATAAAAAGAAGAGAATCAGACTATCCCGGTCCTAGAATTCGTCAGAAATAAAGCTACGTAAAAGGTAATCGATTAGTTTTTTATTGTAATCATCCCCCTTAAGTACCCAACCCCTGAGAAACAACATCGCCTTATTATAGGTCAGATACACTTTTTATCATGTTTTAAGTTAAAACCTTCTACTCGTGTATCAATCTTTAAATGGTGTTTACTATTTATTATTAATATTATTATTTGCTATGTTTGAAAAGTACCTCCTGCTGCAGAGTAGATCGAATATATTAGACGACTAAGTAGAGAAGGTCGACCTAGTCACTAAATTAGGAGACAAGGAAAACTGTTACATGATTGAGGACACAATAGGAATGCACACGCACAAGATACATAAATAGACGACATAACAGAAATAAGCCTTCAGCAACGTCCTGTTTAAATGATGATAGTAAGAGGAGTTAGCAGAGGGGTGTACGGAATGGGTCTAGCAGGTTTCGATCCAGTTTACAGGATGGGAACTTACTCGACTCGGGCCTCATACATTTGTGTAAGTGTATGTGTGTGTTTGTTTTATTTCCATGGTTTCTATTAAAATAAACAGTCATAACATATCGATACCTTTTTGCCAGACTAACGTAAGCGACATTAATTTGTTTAAATGGCATTTATGATAGTCTGGCAAAAAGGTATCGATATACTCTATACTTTATAAAATATTTGTAACAATATTTTTTAATATATTATGAATATATAACTGTGACTTTCTTTGTAATTTGTCACAAAATGATACTAGATACTTTGTAAACGTAGCAATTGTAGTTTTTCTGTACCTTACAAAAATATAATTTATAGAAAAAGAGTTTGGTGTATTATTTTTCCAAGTTTAAATATTTCATAATCAATAGAATTTTCAAGTTTTTTTTTAGCGAAATTTACAAGAGTAATAAAAACTACTATGTTCACTGCTTTTATTAAACTGATTAAAACTTCCTTTATTAAAATGATTATTTATATGATAAAAAATTTGATGTCATTGGAAGCTTTTACATTTTCTAATATACAGTGAAACAATAGTTTTTGTTTCTTCTGTAAATTTGTATAGAAAACCTATTTATTTCTGAATACATGTTTGAATTTCCCGCCCTAAAGCATTTTTAAATTTTCCCGCTATTTACTAGTGACGCCATCATAGACTGGTTGTGGTTACAATCGCCCAAACAACTTTTACCGAAAAAAAAAAAATACATTGAGTTACACGTCTCGCTGGGTTGTCTTTGGTTATTATGGGTCATAGAAAGCAAGAAGCAAGGGCAGAATAATCATTTTTTAAAATATGAACATTTTTTACGTATCTCTTAAGAATTATCATAGGTGCTAGATGGTAAAAAGTAACTTTGCAAAAAAGTGCTCTCTGTGTTTACCCTTTCTCAGGTTAGAGTACCTTGGCCTTGGAGCAGGGACTCAGTAGGCAGACCATAATTATTCAATAAAAACTAACAAATTTTTATTAAAAAAAAATATGTTCAGTGATGTCCAAGAAGCTTCGTGTCTTCGAGACCACCGTGCATCATTGATCAAATTAGTAGTTTGTGCAACAAGAGTGGATAAACGTAAGCGAAATAGCAAACTTTTTAAATCGTGTTTTTGTAAAATCCCAACCACACAATGAAATAAAAAAAATACGAGCAATATCTATTTTTAACCATCATTTCATGACAAAAAATTATTTATTTTTAGTTGAATACCTAACTGAATTGAATGTCCATCACGCAGAACTAGGACGTCAGTTATAAACAGAATTCCTCTAGGGACGATATTCTGCTTGGTCAACAATTTTATATCTCTTATATAAATAAACTGGAACGTTCTGCAAAATATTTATCGCAATACCGTATTCACATATTATAACCTTATCCGGTTAAGCATAATTATAATTGAAGTGAAGTTAATATACCTCAGTAGTTTTAATAGCTTTACCTTTCACCTTTGATTTAAATACTTTATGTTTTTTTATTTGTATATTTTTATTTACATAATTGAATAAAAAAAAAATTAAAATTTTCAGCATTGTGTTCAACACGTTACTCGATTTGACTGCTAGCTCTTAGACTATAAACTATCATCATTACTCTAACTATCTGTTTGAAACAAAGTGTAGTTTCTCAGCATTAGATATTAGGCTTAATTAACCGTATTAAATGGCTACATGAGAGGAGTAGAAATCAGTTCTAGGGAATTAATGAGGCCCTGCTCGGCCTCACTCGATGTTAAGTAAACCCGACATTCTACTCACTTTTATGTATACACCGTTACATGCTCTATTTATACACTGTCGTAAAAGTATCTTCAGCTTTTACTGGATGCTTAAGATGGCTGTTAAAGTACCGTGGTGGCTTGATATTAGTTATTAGCTAGTAAGTTCTCTTATAGCCGTGCTTTGAAAGTTAATAGCTTTATTGCGTTCGGTTGTGTTTTAGTGAATACCGCAAAAATATATGTGGGAATTTAGTTTTTATAAATAAAATAAAGTTAAATGGTAGGTAGCATTTTTAAATTTGTTAGAAAATATTATCTTATAATAACATAAAATCGAACCATAAAATTATAAAAATCTAATGTGCGTAAGTATTTGTATAAATGATATTATTTTATTCAATTAGGTCATGTATTTCTTTTCTTTAACATAAT